CGTGTGTGTGTGTGTGTGTGTGTGTGTGTGTGTGTGTGGGGTGGGGCTGCTCTTCTTCTGATTCAATGAAAACTATGTAACACAGTTGTTTACACTTAAATTAAAAATATTTGACCAAAGAAAAACTAGAGCAGGACTACAGAGAGATGAATATGATTTAGATTTTTATTTCTGTGACTGTAAACGACCCACAGGAGACACGGGATTAACAGCAGTCATCATTTCATTCCTTGGTTTTAGCAGGTCTGACTTTTTTCCTTAAGGTAGAAGAGTTTGTTGAATCTGACGTGACTTGTTCATAGGAACCCTTCATACGAACAAACGTAAGAGAAATTTAGGATAARAATACAAACATGGTCTTGCATGAGGCCCAATGTGATGTTTGAAGGTCATGTCTAAAATGGGGAAGATTTAAAGAGAGTTATTAGTTGATGTGTAAATATTTTGTTTTTGTGCACACACTTGTTGAATCTATATTTGTTGTGTAATTATAATAACGCTCCAAAAAAAAAAAAACAACCCACAAAATAATATTAATGTCTCTACTTTTGGCTTTTGTCGCCTTTTGGTTGTACAGGTCATACAGGACTTTCAGGTTCTGCTTTTGCATTCCTAGGTTATATTTTTTGCAAAAGCAAATGCTGAGAATTTGTTTTATTCAAATTAATGTTTTTTTTTTTTGTATTTTTTTGTGCAGGCACTCATCACACTCCTATGTTTGTATGGCATGGTATGGTACGAACAACATAAAATGAAGGTGAGATCCTGTTTTCAGGCTCGTCTGTGATGACATTACAGTTAATATTTTTCAATATATTTGCTTGTTTTTAAATTCAAATAGCACTTTTATTACATACCAGATATTTTGCTTGTAATGAGAGGAATAAAAAGACAAATATCAAGTGTCCCTCACTATAACAAAAGATAGAAAGCCTCAAAYTTGGGCAGATAAGTCTAATTTACTGTAACTTATTTATTATTAAACCTTCACACTTGCAGATTTAAAAAGGACCAATAGAGGTGAAAAACAAAACAGCAGTTACTTGTTATAATTGTGCTTTTTGTATAAAAAATGCATTTAATAAGTGTGTTTGGTTTCTGTTTRCAGAATATTGCTTTGCAAAGCGACGATGGTGACGACAGCGGTGTTGTTGATTCTTCTTCAGCTCAGACGGATTCTCTGGGAAGTTTGCCAAGTAGAAAACGGAGGAAGGCCTCTGCTCGGAACAGATTTGTGAACAGCCATGGGAGAAGGAGACTTTGAAGAACACTAATAAWAAGTATTTAAAGAAGATGAACGGATGTTACCTTTTTAACAGTAGGAATTGTGCCAGTGATTCAGTGACCTAAAAAAAMCTTTCAGCAAAGTTTGCAAAAAGGAAGAAAACGCAACAAGAACTAAAACTAGACAAAATTGCACACTGATGTCTGGATTTATTTTAGAACCAACAAAAGGCACAGGATAGTTAAATTAACAGGTTTTATTGGACTGTTACTTAGCAGCTTCTTGTTCGTCCAACACTGTGTAGAAAATGACATTTTGTTCTTGTCCTGAGGACTGTCCTGAAGTTCTTTCTGTGAGTCAAAGTTACATATTTAAATATCTACTGATTTTTTTTCTTCTTGTGAAAAGGGCTACTTTTTAAGATGTGTTTTATTCAGTTGTTAAAATGTTGTTTATTGTTTTGTATTATTGTCATTTAGATAGGTGTGTAAGATAACTGTGAATGTCTATGTAGTGACACTGGATAAGCACTTCTTTGGGAAAAAAAGAACAAAAGTTTTGAATTTTCTTATAAAACTACTGTGTGTGGTTTTTAACTCAACTCGAGGACCTGTTTTTTATCTTTATATTTCACGTGTGCATTAGTTGTTTTGTTTAGCACTAATATTACTGATTGATTCCAGTTCTTTATAACTGCTCTAAATATATAAAACCTATTTTTGTATAAAATGTGTTTATTGTTACGCTAATGCACTCAGCAGCATTACTGATTGTGATTCATGTAAGTATTTTTGCTGGATTTTCTATGCACAAATGAATAACCAAACGGAATAAATTAGTTTTTTTTTAATGTGTTATAGCTCTTTTTATTACAAATATCTTTGCAATAACAGATTTAGATCAATTTCAATTTTTTTAGTATAGCATCATTCATCAGATATGACTAAAACAACTGGCAACATGAATAAATACAAAAAAAAGTAGTCTTATAATCTACATAAATACACAAAAAAATTATAAATCAACATCCACCATGACCTGGCAAGTCAAAATAATTTCATTAACATTTTTTAAATAAATTAAACATGTTTTTAATTGTATTTTTTATTAAATTAATACCTTACAATAAGACTGTTTATGAATGCTAAATGATTTGTCGAAGCCTTCTTTGTTAAGTTAAAGCACTACATTTCCCATAATTCCGTTGTGAACGACCGCTGTCCAGGATGACAGCTATCCGGCGCCGAAACATCGATAGACATTCAGACGAAAGAGCCATGGMGGCCACGGGTGGAGGGAAAATTAGAAGCAGGAGATATCACATTACTTCTAAACCTTACGCCAAGAGTAAACAGGTAAATCAATTGAAACTTGGCATGTTAAGGACCCGAACCGAGCACACCGTGAGAGTCGCGTTGCCATCATTCTGTTAGTTTTTTGTTATTGTTTTGTTGGAGACATTTTCTGGCCTACCATTAGCGCTCGTGGCCTCCACGCGCTGCTAGCATGTTCAGGAAACGCTAGCGAACTAGCGAGTTGTTTTAAGGTTAGCGGAATTAAATGAACCTGACAGTTTAATTAACGGTAGTGTGAGGTTTATATAACTTATTTAGTCTCAGTGCAGCTGCGCGCACGTCCACCTGAAACGGCCAACCGCGGCTCAGGTTGTAAGTTCAAAGTGATTAGCCAAGTTAATGACAGGCAAAGGAAGTCGATTTTCTCCAGCTAACTGGAGCTAACTAACTAGCATCGGCGAGCAACGCATTGTTGTCTTTGCGGCTTTTCTACGTAGCAGAGTCAAGTGAAAAGATCGTTTAACTTTTTATTATATGTTCATGCATCTAATTTACATTTTTTTCATAAATGCGCAGTTTAAAGCCCAGTAGATAACAGTATATAGTCATACATGCCGTATGTTAGCCAAATCTCAGCCAGTTGATTGCGCAGGGAGCTGATTGGGAATCCACATGGTCCTATGTGGGATTTTAATTTAATTTTAATATTAAGATTTTTGGTTTTAAAAACATTTTATTATATTAACAGTGGCCACAGTGGATAATAAAACTTGATCTGTTTTCAGCACGGAATATTTCCTGGAAAATTGTAAGTCTGTAAAGTAAAAAGTGTCACGTTAACACTAATTCACTTTGTATTTTACATAGTTATTTTGCCTTTTTGCGGTGTACAAAAAGTGTAAAAGGAGTGAAAAGCAAACTGTCAGTCCCGTTATCTGCCTGTGGCGTGCATAATATAATAATAATGCAAATAGTTTACCATCAAAACTTGTTTTGAACTATAAATTGATGTCCTATGTTTGGATTTATGTATTTTTAACATCCCAAGCTTATTTACATCAACCTGGACATGTATGTTGTAGTGCTTTATAAATGTCATTGTTACAGTTTATCATAGAAATACTAGCTTATTTAATCAAATTAAAAGTTCAGTACTTTGTATTGTTATATTTATATTCAAAAATATTGTAGGAGCACACATCCTGTGTAGCCTTAATGTGTATTTATTGACAATACACTTGAAAGGTCATTCCTAAACATGGAAGAATCTTATTACAGTCCTAATCATATTAAAACTTTAATAGAGAGACAAAGATGAAATTCTGCTCAAAGTATCCAACTTTGTTTGCATTTTGCTGTAAGTCACAAATGTTGACGATGTGCAGGCGTTTTCTTCCATCTGTGGCATTGTTGCTTTGCTGTGTGGACCTGCTGGAGCACATTCAACTCAACATATTTTTTCCTACTGTAACAAAAAATGATAACAATTAACATAAATGACAATGAGAAGGTTTCACTGTTTCAAATGATAGTTGTTATTCATTTAACGTGCATGTCAAAGTAACAAAATACTCCTTTTATTTCGAGTAAGCTTGTATTAAATATTGAAAAAGTTGCTCTTTTTCCCTGTGCATCTCTTTTTAACCCAAGCTTGATATCCTCTCTTGTGCATCAGTATAATGTGTTAAAGAGCAGGGAGGAAGTGGCAAATTGATCCACCAATAAAACCTCTATTAGAAAACAGCTATGTAGTCACAGTAGTCGGCATTTTACAGCAGTTTTTCAACTTTACTTGGAAAAAYGTCTCTGGTTCCAAAACAGGTTATTAAAAACTGGACCACCCGTAACGCCATAAAAAGATCCCAGAGCCCCACAGACATAGAGCGTGCCAAAATTTCTTGACAGTTTTTCAAACCAAAGCAGAAAACAAACTAGCTAAAGCATTTAGATAGATTTCAAAACGATATAGGAGTCTAAACATGTAGTTTTTGTTCCTTCTAAAAGCTTTAGCTCTCTTGTCTTGTTTGTTTTCCTTTGTCCCCCATTTCTTTCAGTGTCCTCTAAACAACAATTGTGAGTTGAGACCACAGCCTTACTGTGTGAACGTTTTTACAATCAACATTGGAAAGTTGACGTTTTTCCAAGAGATTGTTCATGTGTAAATAAGGTCTAAATCTCACTTGCCTCAATGTTGACCCGTTTTTTTTGAAACAACAGAGTTAAAGAAATATTGTTACTTTGACTTTTACGTTAAATGAATAAAATACTTTTATTTACRTCAAGTGCTTTGGGGGTCAGAGTGTCTTTTATGGAAAGGACTCTTCTTTGCTGGTGGCTGTTACAGGTTTTATTTTATTTTTTTCAGGGTTCCTTAGTTTATCCTTCAAAGTAAAATCTGGAGCTATGTTCAGAAATGTGTAACCATCATATCTGCGTATAGATGTTTATGTTTGAATCTATGAGAGTTACAGGAAATTTTCCTGATGGAGCAAAATTCCACTTTGTTGCTCTCTGTCTTGTGTTTTATTGAAAATGTTGATTTTTCCAGTAAATTAAAAAATAAAACATTGAGCTGAAAACTTGTTATTCTTTAAGTATTGTGAGCTTTTGGGGAATTTAGATTGCGATGCATCACTAGAAGTAATTAACTTTACTCTGATTACTACACTTAAAGCATAAATATTGGAATTATAGTTATCCAGTTTCCACATAAAGGAGTAAGCACCACGTGGCTGACAAGTGTTTATCATAGATAAGCAGGAAAAAGAGGCTCATGTTATTTGGAACTTAACGTTTTTGTGTGTGTGGTACACGTCATCTGCATGAAGAGTTTGCATTAACAAGCTTCTACTGACCTTTAATTAAACTTTTCCCTTCTCCTCTACATACCAACATGGGAGTGTGACGAGAAACACTTYCTCATTTTGATGACTTTCAAGTAGAGCCACAGCACAGGACCTATGACAAAACATGAAATATTTTTGCCGTAATGTCATCATCAAATTTCAGCACATTAAAAGCGCCGGAAGCTAAACTATGGCTTAACTATTCTGACTAAATTTGTTTCTTGTGTCTCTCTGCAGCAGTCAGGCCTCATCAGTCGAGTGACGGACACGGTGAAGAGCATCGTTCCTTCCTGGCTGCAGAAATACTTTAAAAACGGAGAAGCTGCTGAAGAAGGAGAGGCAGGACCAGGGACAGATCATAACTGCCAGCCTCTGCCGCCACCGCCTCCTCCTCCTCCTAATGGCAATGAAGAGGGACCTCCTCCCCTTGATGGAAGAGATTCCCCCGAGCCAAGCACCAGTAACACAGGCAGGCATCTGTTCAGTCGCTTAAATCTCTATATTTCCTGGGGTTTGAGTCTAAACATTATTTTTCATGTTTTTATAATAATAACCGTACTCAACCTGTTTTCGCAGAACCCTCAACTAGTCGTGCGTCCCTGAACTTTCAGGACTACGTGCTTTCTCGCCCTCCATTGAGTCGCACCCACCTCCACTTCAACCCCCTGGATGCCTCCTCCCCAACACTGGGAGCCTCCAGCAACCTCTTCTCCCAGCCCTCCACCTCCTCAGCCCCCGGCCCCTTCTCCACGGGCTTCTCTTTGGTCAAGGAAATCAAGGACAACCTCTCACAACACGAAGACGATAACGTCTCCACCACCAGTGGGTTCTCGTCCCGTGCATCTGACAAGGGTAGGAGCTGAGTTTTATAGTCACAGTTTTGTATGTGAGACAAACTAGAGTGCAATAATGTCCAGGAGACTTCATCACAAGGCTTGTTTTTTTAATCGACTTAAATAGCTGCAACGTCTTCTCGTTTTCAGATGTCCCCACTTCCAAAACCGCATCACTTCCTCAGCTTTGGTCCCCAGAGATGGACAGAACAAACTCTGGACCGCAGCCGTCTCAATCCAGTTTGAAAAAGCCCTCTTTCAACCTGTCAGTCTTTGGAAACACCTCCAATGTAAGTACATGTCTAGGTATAAAGATGCCAAGTTGTTGGCATGTTAATACAAACCAATCCATCATGCAGTCCTGGCATTTTACAGTTTCCAACATTTAACTGGGCTTCTAAAGGAAAATATGCATTTATTTTAAATTTGGGAGGAAAAGTTGTCTGTTTAATTTTGAGGACCTTGCTTTTATTTTTTCTGTGTAACAAGTTTTGTTTTATTTTAGTGTTTGGATGTGTTAATTCCATGCAAAACCTAGAAAATGCATCATGGTTGTATATTTCATTTAACCTTTTCTTTCAGTCAACATTGAACAGCACAATGCTGAACTCAAGCCAGCTTGGTGATTCACCCTTCTATCCTGGGAAAACCACATATGGTGGAGCGTCTGCAGTCAGGAGCTCCCGCAATCATCCTGGAACACCTTATCAGGTGATTGATTTAGGTTTATGTAGGAAGCAACCTTTGATTACAGAAAACCACAGTAAAATATTCATGTAGTCTTCTAGCTGCTAAGGTTTTGTTTGGTTTCTGACAGCGATGTCATGTTGAAGTGTTTTTACTTCCATATTAAAACTAAATAAAACACATCTGATGTGTAGGCTCCAGTAAGAAGACAGATCAAGGCCAAGCCTGCTGGTGCTCAGCCCTGTGGTGTGACCAGTGCCACCGCCAGACGCATCCTGCAGTCCTTAGAGCGCATGTCAAGCCCACTAGCTGTGAGTACACAGATGCATACTTTATCCTAGTTCAAAGTTTTATTCCAGGTAATACATTAAAAAAACATTTTCTTGTCAACAGGATGCAAAGAGAATCCCAGCAGCAGCTTCACCCAGCTTCTCACCTGTAAGTCTTAAGTTTATTAGTCATGTCATAAACATCTGTTTATCATGAGGCTTTATATAAGTAAATAGTAATTATAACCCAGAATATGTAGTTGTTTATCCGTAAACTTTATCTCCGTTAAACGCTCTTCACAGGTGCGAGATGGCACAAATCTTGATGCTTCGGATCTACCATCAAAAAAGAAACGGGTAAGCACACATTTCAGATGACTTTATTTATAAAGGGTTTTTTTTTTAAGAATTGTTTACTTTTATAAAAACGTTTACTTTTATAAAAACTGTCTGACTGAATTATGTCTTTGTGTGGTTTAAAAATTGTGTTCAGTTGTTCCTGCTGTTGACTCTGCTCAGTGATGGGAACAACTGCAATGTTTCCCCTACCATTATACAGCCCCCACAAGAATTTCATGGCATGTAGTCATTTTTATTTAAATAAGGCCAGATCAAGTCGAGAGCTAATTTTTTGCGTCCCTCCATATCCACCTCTCACCAAACTTGGGGGAAAAGATGGCGCAGAGTGAGGCTGAGCGCTGTGTGTGGTCCCCACAAAGATAGGAAGACGTGTGTAAGACTAGACGCGCAGTTCTGCTTTTAATCACGTTGCACCGATGCGACAGCTTTGCAAGCTACTTTTTCTTTCTTTAAAAGAAAATGTGACAGGTGAAGCCACAGCATGCTTACTACCTTATCAATAATTACTGCCTTTTTTCCTTTCTCTGTGGGTGGGGGTTCAGCTTCACTCAGCTGCAGGTGAACACCTCCCGCGTTTCCTGGMYTATTTTCCACCGAGGATTACTTCGTATTTTACATTTATTATATTTCTAAAAGCACTTCGCAGCATTTCCCTTGTGTGTTCATGTCACGAGCGCAACAAAACCRCGACGGATCAGCTGACTGTTTTTAAAGCGAGGTGCAGCGAACATGTCCACCTGCAGCTCGGCTCCGACCAGCCCGGCCCGGGACTGAAGAGTTCACACGTCAACCCCTTCAGACGTTTAACGTGTATAATGAGCATAAAAATCTGTAATTTGCGCAAAAAAATCAGTATTAATCACGCGGATGGAGAAGAGGTGCGCTGACCGCAGCTGCGCGGAGTGAGGAGGAGGAGGAGGGTATTTTAAAGACATGTCTACATTTGACTTTTATTTTTTCTAAAATCASAGAGTTCTCTGAGTCAGCTTCAGATGTTTGTAGTTAATCATATCTTCTACATTTAACCAGGTGTTTCTGTGCCTTTAAATTACACAATAATTTTACTGCAGAAACTTGTCAGTTTGATTAAAAATAACAGTAAAAATATTTTTTTTCTGTGCAGAGAACTTCCTCTGCTATAATTTATTTAAAATAAATATATCAAAGCTCCTCAGTTGAAAACACTAAAATTATAGAAAAGATGTTTAAAAACTTCTTTCCTCAGAAAGTCTTCAGTCCTAAGAACACTAAACTGTAACTTTTAATAAGTACACAGTTTACAACTATTGAAATAAAAATGTTTGATCTGTAAGCAGAAAGCTTATGGATGTTGGATGTTGATTTTTGATCCCTTTTTCAAAGAAGAGGATGAGGAGGAGAACGAGGAAGTTCTCCTCAAGCAGCTCCTAAAACTGTCAACCTGCTGACTGAGAACATTTGTATATATTACACTTTGTATACAGAACAATATAGTCTACTTATTATATTATATTTTTATTGAGATATTTTTTGGACAACCAAAATGTTTTGAGGACAACCAGATTTTGTCAAACCCCCACATGAGAGGTCACCACCACGGTTAAAAAAAATCCTTGGGGAAACTCTGCAAAGTTACAGTTCTTCTAGTTCTAATGATTATTAGAAAGGACATGATTTGAAGTTTTTACTGATAATATTTTATTTAAAACATGTTACAGAAGTCATAAAAAGCAGTCACACAGAAGAGCTCCAGAAGGTTTCAAACTGASAACTCTGGACTCAGATCATCTGCTGCACACAGTTCTGATCATTTATTATCAATAATAATTTTATTGATAATTATCATGAGGAGTCCTTAACTAGGATGTAGTTAGGCWRTTAAATATTCATGTATGTGTAAATTTATTACCATAATTGCAGGTGAGTCGCGTAAATTTATGTTTTTATAAACAAGTAACCACCCCCCACCCCACCAAGACCAGTTTCCTAGGGGAAACACTGAACAGTGTGGTTGTTCAAACCCAGAAACACTTGTTTTATTTTGTCTTGTCATTTCCTGTCCTGCTGTCTGTTGTCTCTAAGAGGCTTCCCTCCAGCTGTTCTGTACTGTGTTTTTATTCCTGTTCACAATTACACATTTGGGAGCGAAACAGACTCACTGCCAAATGTATTTGGCTCAGAAGAGTTGTTTTATATAGTGTAAATCTGGCCAGCTGTTTAACTGTCTGGAATTTCCATCTGTGACATTGCTTTGTAAAATATAAATCAGTGGTTTAGTGATGGGTTTAACAGAGGCTCGTTTAAAGCCCAGCAGTTACTGTGTTGATTTTTGATTCACTCAATAAAATGTATTTACTGATCAAGCTGGTAACTTGTTTTCCACCTTAAGTAATGCCTTGTGTGGATCGATAATGGATTTAAACGGCGTTGTAGCAAAGAAAAATCTGAAGACTGGAAAAATTTGTCTAATCACAGTTTTGTTTTTTATCCAGATGGAGTCGAGTAGCCCACCTGTGAAGAAACTCGTGATTCCAGAAGCAGCCTCTGTTTCAGGAAGCCGCTCCGTGTCTTTTAGGCCGACTTTGACTCCTGGAGGACTCGGCCGATCTCTGGACAGGACTGCAAAAGAGAAGACGGTCAGTACTTCACAGCTCGTATTGTTCTACATAACATCATGTATATTTTTTATGTTGAATGCAGTAGGGCTGCTTTATTCTAAGAAAACAAAGACAAGATTGTAAATCCATACAGTTTGTTGTTACAATTTATTAGAATCCCTGATGATATTATTGCTCACACTGATAATGATGGTTGGTTACTGGAAACATACTGAGACTTTATTGTTTCTATTATTATGGTAGCTGTCAAGACAATCACCTCAACTACCTGAAGCAASCCCAGGTCCATCTCATAGGTAAGTTTTGTTTCTCTTAATTATTAACCACACATTTGTTCCATTAAATATGGTCAAACATTTAACTCCTTTATCATAACATAAACTTATTTTGCTTGATTCGTAGTTTGGTGATAAACCAAAGCACGTATGTTTTTGTAACATTTTACTAACTAAACCTTTTCTTCCTGTTGTTTAGCACAAGGATTTGTAGTGACCCCACCTACCCTCTGTCCAGCACCCCTGCACCCAGCAGCATGAGCTCTGGCGGGGGCAAAATCAAAAGAGACAGAACCACAGCACGGCCTTCCTCTAAACGCCCTGAAGATGACGAGGTGAGATTTATTAATTTTTTTAGTATTTATGTTTATAGGTAATGATAAAATATGAAACGTATGCTTTCTTTTTTAAACCTAAGGTGGTCGAGGTACCAGTCCTCCCAAGCATTTCACTCCCCATCAGCACATCATCCTTACCAACGTTCAGCTTCACTACATTGCTACCTTCCACCACCTCCGTTAGCTCCGCCCCCACCATCCCAGCTGTTACTCCAGCAAAGGAAACGGTCATAAATAAGGTTTGTTTTAAAACTACATTGACCTTCTTCAATAACACTTGAAAAAGTTAATAAAATTATTTTGATTTTGTTCCTTTTCTGTCCAGACGGATCCACCAAAGTCCTCAACGCCACCCTGTGTACCTTTTACATTTTCCTCTCCTATCGTCAAAGACACCGCTGCCAGCCCGCCTTCCTATTCCCCTTCTGTGAGTATTTTACTTTTGTTACAAATATATTATATTATGGTGAGAGAAATAATGTTTTTTTTTCCTGTTTCAATGCAGACTGGATTTACTTTCAGTGCACCTGTAGCAAAACTGGCTCCTTCCATGTCAAATGGAAAGCTAACCACACCCACAGCAGCAGGTGAGAGCAGTTTCCTTCACTCTCATTTGTTTTCTGCAGGCTTGTTCAGCCGAGAGTGTTTAAAATCATTTTTGTTTTACAGTGAAACCAGTTAAGAGCACAGAAGAATTTGAAGGACCTTTTAAACCGGCCAAGACCCTGAAGCAAGGCAGTGTGCTGGATCTTCTCAAATCTCCTGGTAGTTTTATATCTCATTTAGAGTCTTTTTTGTTGTTGTTGTTGTTGTTGTTGTTGTTTGTCCTAATTCTTTATTCTCTCCAGGTTTTGCCTCTCCTGGTACTCAGAGCTCCTCAGGCACCAGTGTTCCTCCCCAACAAAAATCCACACAGTCCACAGCCCCCCTCTTAACCGGCACAAGCTCCTCCTCCTCCCTCCCTTCATCAGCGGGGTTCGGCAGTTTGTTTAAAGCTCCTCCGGGTTGGAGCTGCGACGTGTGCTTAGTTCAGAACAAGCAGTCCGACACAAAGTGCGTCTGCTGCAGGGCTTCGAAACCGAATCCCTCGCCTAAATCTGTGGAGAACAAACCGTCGCCCTCCAACTCTGTGGGGCCAGAGAGCACCACCTCCACCTCCACAACAGGTTTTGGTCCGATATTTTCTAAACCCGCAGGAACCTGGGACTGTGACACGTGTCTGGTTTCAAACAAGCCTGATGCCGGGAAGTGCGTGGCCTGCGAAACGGCCAAACCTGGGACGGGGCTCAAACCCTCACTTACATTTCCCTCTGCCTTCTCAACTGTTCAGACTGCATCCACGCCCACAGACCCCGTCTCCACTGGCATCAGTGGATTTGGAGATAAATTCAAAAAACCTGAGGGTGCATGGGAATGTGACACATGTATGGTACAAAACAAGGCGGAGGACACTAAATGTGTGGCCTGCACAGCTGCTAAACCAGGTAATAAGACTTATTTGTACCTCTCTGCTCTTTTGTAGCATCTAATTTACAAGGAAACAGTTTTTGTAAAACAAGACTTTTCTTCTTCTTCTTCCCAACCACTAAACAGGAGCTTCAGGAGGAGAAACCACGTCCTCGACCAGCAGTGCCCCAGTGTTTGAACTGGGAGACAAGTTCAAGAAACCAGAAGGGTCCTGGGAGTGCGATGTCTGTCTGGTGCAAAACAAGGCTGCTGATGCTCAGTGTGTTGCCTGTCAGGCTGCAAAACCTGGAGCCAAAGTGGAGCCCAAAGGTAAGATAAATAAATTAGTAGTAGAATCTAGTTACAAATTTACAATTTTTAACAAAATTGTCTTTAAAAAAATTATGCAAATGTAATTTGTTTGTAAAAAAATAAAAAGATAGAGATATCTTGAGAGGTTTAAACTTGTGTGGATCCAAAATGTTTTATATATGAATTATATTGACACCTACATGAAAATCTTGTTCTGTTGTGTCCTGTTTTTAATGTTTCTAATCTTTTATTTCTTTTCAGCTTTTGGCTCTTTCGGCTCCTCTGCTGGTGGGACTACTGGAGCATCAACATTTGCCTCTGGAGGATTTAAGTTTGGCACATTGGACAATACTTCTGAGTCTGCAGGTTTCAAGTTTGGGACTACAGAGTCGTCGTCATCTTCTTCAGGTGGATTTAAATTTGGAGTCCAGTTTGGAAGCTCTTCATCAGAATCCTCTTCTAAAGACACTGCTGCCTCATCAGGGTATAAATTCGGCAGCTCCTCTGAGGGCTTTAAGTTCGGAGCTGCTTCTGATGAAGATAAAAAGTCGGCGCAGCCCGCTTCAGGTTCTGGGTTCAAATTTGGAGTCAGCAGTGGGGCAACGTTTGGGACTGGGTCATCTAGCACAGAAAGCAATTCATCTAAAAGTGGCTTCACCTTTGGACTGTCAAAGCCTGTGGAGAAGACACCAGAACCCACCACAGCCTCTTCTTCTTCTGTTTCTAGTACTCCTCTGTTCTCCTCGCAAGAAAAAACTGACAAAGCAGAAGCTTCGTTTATCACATCAACAAACACCAACCCAACCACCACCACAACCGTCAAAACAGGGTCTGTATTTGGGAGACTGGGTGAGCCGAGCTCGGTGTCCGGCGCTCCGAAAGCGAGCTCTACGTTTGGATCTTTACCGGCAGGGAAGGAGCCAGCTGCTCCCACATTTACCTTTGGGAACCCTGAGGAAAAGAAGGAAGCCTCCTCCTCCTCCTCAGCCACATCAAGCTTCATCTTTGGTGCTGCTGGTAAGGATGGAGATTCTGCAGCTGCTACAGGAGGCTTTTCTTTTGGGAAACCCAGTGCTCCAACAGAACAACCTCCACCAACTTTTGCTTTTGGCAAGCCTGTGGAGAAACCTGAAGCATCCACTTCAGAGACCCAAAAGCCTGCCTTCACTTTTGGACAAACTGCTGCAGGTAGTTCTTCTGTAAATGTTTTGACTGTAATAACAGTAATCTGTTGTGGGCGGGGGAGCTTAAAAGTTACTAAAAACCACGTGGTCTTTCCCTAAACAGATTCTACTGCTGCTGCTCCGAAGCCARCCTTTAACTTCATGGTTAACAATCCAGCCAACACCACCACCTCCACCACCTCATCCACCACTACTCCCAGTTTGTTCGGCACCGCCAGCATCAGCAGTAGCAGCTCCACACCAGCCCCAGCTGCGTCTGCGGCTCCCAGCACGTTCGTCTTCGGTCAGCCCTCCGTGACCACCGGTGACGCCGCCCCTGCGAAAGCCTTCATGTTCGGACAGAACCAGGACGGCCAGGCCTCGGCTCCGTCCAGCGCTCCTCTGAATTCAGCCTCGGCGCCGGCTCAGCCCTTCATCTTCGGCGCTGCTGCCAACGCTGCTGCTCCCTCTTTTAACTTCGGAGCAACGGCGCCYTCTGCTGCCTCGTCATCAGGTCAGCATCTGTCATGAGTTGTGTTTGCTTTTAATTTTTAAATTTTGAAGCTAGTTTAATCTTCAAATTATTATTTTTTTTCTTACAGCTCCTTCAGCAGCTTCCTCCCCGTTTGTGTTCAGTTCAGCTCCTTCTGGGGGTTTCGGTGCTAACCAGACCTCTACATTTGGTTCATCATTCACGTCCCCTTTTCCAGCCACGGCTTCCCAAACCCCCTCTTTTGGAGCCAAACCCAACGCTGCGCCCATTTTTGGACAACAGACCAACTCCACTCCTGTATTTGGAGCGTCTGTTAATTCTGCATCAGGTGAGGAGGTGTTGTTTGTTTTTTCTATAAGATGTTATATTTGTTGAGATTTGAGGTTGAGTATTAAACCTTTATCTGTTTTTTTTTTATATAAACCAGGTGGAGGATTTCAGTTTGGAGGCACGAGTGCGTTTGCAGCCACAAATAACACCACCAGCGCAGGAGTTTTCACTTTTGGAGCAGGAGCTGCAGCCTCACCTGCCCCTGC